ATTTTGGAATTTTATTTTCAAAATCTGCCAAAATTCGGATAAATCTATAAACACACAAGTTTTGCCAAAAATAAATTGAAAAAAACTTGGTAAAATCTATGGCCAAACGAGGCCTTAACCTCCGTTATACTATCCGGCCAAATATATCCCTACAGTTATATTATTCGTTTAAATTTATTCCTATTATCAGCAAACTTTTAAAAATTACCCCTCGATCTGTTAGGTAATCCAAAATCTCCCATTTTCTTTTTATTTAAATCACTTATTGTTCTTCTTGCTCCACTATTTTTAGATATTACTATTAATGTGAATGCTAAAGGTACTAGCATATACAAATTATTCATGGATATTTTTAATTATCATTGCACCCACTTCTCTTCTTTTGATAATGAGTTTGGAATTGGTTTAAAATTTTATTTATTTTTCAACCATATACACAACGTAGAACTCAGGAGGTCTATTTATTGTGTATTATATGCATCTGCTCATCATGTATGTACGTATATATTCGAATATATTTTGTTATTTTCTAGTTTGTACGGAAGTTCGATCGACTAACTTAAGAGTACACAATGTGTATGCATTTGATTAAGCAAAGTTGAATTCGACAATGTAAAGTCTCCAAAGAACTTCAACTTCTACCACTAATACTTGCAAAGTCTTCATAGACTTGGTGCAACGAATTCATTAAAGTTGGGGTGTTGTAAATACTTTTAAAATTTAGAAAAGCTACCTAGTTTAGATTCTTCAATTTACTATACTTTGTTTACTAACCGTTATATTATTTAATATTTCTTTCTCTCATTTCTTTTTCAATTAAGAAAGTAGGTAAATGTCAACTATTTCGAAAATAGTGGATCAAGAAGTGGAATAAGTGACTTAATTAAAATGATTTGGGAGATGCTAGGTCACCTGACAGATTGATGAGTAATTTTTAAAAGTTTGCTGATGGTAGAGTTAAATTTGGCCGGATAGTATAATGGTAGGGGTAAATTTGGCCGAATAATATAACGGAGGTTAGATGTAGACAATATTTGAAAATATAGGGACAAATTTGAACCTTTTCCCAAATTAAAAAGACTTCATTTTTCTAGTACCAATAGGAAGTAGAAATACCTGCTTTGTTTAGCCCTTTTTAGGTGGGACCATGTGAGGCAATATGTAAACCGTCCAAAGTGGGGGTGTATGGGTCTATGGGATAATGGCAGTGGCTTGGTTATCCATTCTTTAGGTGTTGGTTTGGCCAAAGATTGGCATGTGTTGTGTGTCAAATAAAAGAAAAGATACTTTGGCTGATTCTTTCAGTAAAGTCTGGCTTTCGTCCCGAAAGGATGTAAATATAGGAAACAAACATATTATTGTTGTGACTGACGATGGCAGCATTTAACACTTCCATTTTCTAATGCTACTTCTTTTCATGTGTACCCTACTATGCTTCTTTTCCACATAAATAGTTCTCTAGAAACACCATTTTTTCCTCCTCAAGGTAAATATTTGTTTGGAACCTGAAAGTTATAAACTATATTGTCACTTCCCTTCAGATAATCACTGTAACTGATCGTCATTATCATCAATGTCGATTTTGACCATTGATGAATCCAACCCTAGGTTGTCGAAAAAAGAAGAAAAAAAATCCAACCCTCGGTTGGTTGTAACGAAGGAGCCAGGATTTTTGATCAAGCTAATTCAAAATATATAGAAATAAATACACGAAAAAATTAAAGAGGAATCAACTATTATTATATATACATAAAAAATAATGTTGACCTATATATAATATTATTTTTGATGAATCCCCTTGGACCCCTAATGCGTTGGTTGAGCTTTGTATGTATATGTACAAAGCAACGATATATACATTTCAAAAAACACACTCTTAATTCAAAATCCGTCGAAATTTTAGATCCACCGTTGATATAGCCAAGGAAAAAAGATCGAACTTAATATATAGCCAAGGATTAAATGTGATGAGTTGATTCAAGCCGACTCTTACATTATTTTTCCTTATAGTCAATGCATCCACCAAATTTTACCTCACTCGAAACATAAGTGCGTTATACTATTTTCAAAGAAGAGTAGATAACTGGTTGAAAAATGAGAAATCTGGCAATACAAAATTCGAGTAAGTAACCCAATTTAATCTGGACACAGTTGAATGTTCTGTCGAATTGTTGAACATTAGTTGGCATTACTAATATTCATTTCAGGTCCCCCACCACTACTAAATCCTATGTCTCTTTTGTGAAAATTTTCTGGTAAGTGATGTGACATTAGTTTTTAACTCTTCCAATTTTGTTTCATCAGTAACCCGAAGGTCTCTTTTCAGGAGAGTATCACATATAGAGGAAATTAAGCCTCACAACATAATATATATGTACACTTCATTAATGGTAAAAAAAACATTGTATTTAATCCCTGTAATTAATTAAAATGATACACGTTCCAAAATAAGTTCACATATATTTTTCTCATAAACTTATTGTTGGTCCCTCGACTATGACATATCGATGAACTTCTATCTTTGAACAAAATAAGCTCACGTGTATCTTTCTTTGACATAAATTTACGTAACCTAACTTTTTGAAATAAAATGCTTTTTTTGTCCCTCAATTATGAAGAAGCCTGCTAAAAAATATGGACTATTCCTTCTGTCTCAGCTATTTGAAAAGTTTAAAAGAATTTTTTTATGATAATAATTTTTTATATGCTTTTTAAATAGTTATTTATTTATTAATTATTGTAACCAGACTTATACTAGTATCTATATAGTTTCTAAATCTCTAAATTTTAGTTTAGAAAATATGAATACTTTAGTTTAACTCTCATACACCGAATTATGTCACATAAAGTAAGATAGAGAAAGCATTAAGTAGTCAGCAAAACTAATGCTTCTGTTCGTTATTATTTTAAATTCCAAGTAAAATGGCAACTGATCTCTCACCACAAAATTAAATTAAGATGGGCTCCTGGCAAGATATAGGTGGGAACATGTACTTTTCCACCTTAAGTTGAAAATTCAACTAATTGAAGTGATTTTGATAGAAAATGAAAGGAGATGAGACTTTAGCTACAAATTGTCTTGCTGCATTAAAGTAAAATAGGTCATTAAGAAGCAAGAAATGGATGAAAGCACTTCCACCTAACCCTAACACAAAACAAGAAAAAGAGAAAATTACGTTGCTTCTCATGTTTTTCCTAAAAGGAGGAGCCGTATCATTTTCGATTTAGTATTTGGATATTAATTATTTTAAAGAAATTTGTTTTAGTTAAGGGGTTGAGGAAACAAAAGAAATAACCATAAAGAGGAAAGAAACCTGAATTGCTCCTTTTTTCTTTTTTTCTTTTTTTAAACTTATATATTGCTTTACACGCTTTTTATTGTGCCTACCATCTTAAATTTTTCCCACCCTCATTACCAGATCAAAAGTCTTATATTTGGGTATGGAGATTAAATTTGTTTCATCTGTACTTCTAGATAGTTTAAATTTTGAAACATATGGTATCGTTGGAGGCGAAAATTCTTATCCTTGCAAGAGTCTGAAAGAAACATTGTATCATAATCGGGCAACCAGTCCTGTTGAAAAAAAAGTGGTCAATTTCCTCAATGTAACGTGATTTGTCATATAAATAAAGATCAAAATATTTGCCTTTTAACCCAAAAAAGAACTTTGACGAGTTTTAAATGGGTATAGTAAGAAATCTTGACTAGTAAAAGTGTCTAGCAATAAGATAGATCAAATATATCCGGCATGGCTGCACATTATTAAAATAGATTAATGTCATTAATTAAGTGTGGTCTATTGCCTGCTAATTATTCTTCCAATTTCCAGAGTGGTTATTAATTTTACATTGTTAAGAATAGAGAAAATTGGAGATGGTCTTAGCTAAATGACGTACTTGATTAACTTGTCAATTAAGTTATTGAACTCGAACATACGTAAGTTTGCTTGTGTGTTGTGAGAGATGAAAAAGCCATTGCTCAAAGATTTTCTATGAATCTTTGTATGCTTAGCCGGTGAAGTTAATTCCCTAGCAAAATGCAAACTATTTAGGAAAATGGGAAACAAAATGGGAACTTATTAATTTGATAAATATTGCAGTTACCGGTCATCACCAATTACTTCTTCTTGCAAATAAGTCTCTAATTAATGTATATCTTATTAATTCACCATTCACGTATCAGAAATTGTCTTTAATCCAATTGATTGCATTTCGGAGTGTGAATCCTGTTCTCTAGGCTTAAAAATGACAAAATCTTTGATTCCCTGTTATCTCTCCCTCTTTTCAGACCAAAAAGAGAAACCCTTTCTTTATAATCCATCCTAAAGTATACGAAAATACTCACTCTTACGTGATGTTACAATAAATTGTACTCCTACTAAATTTTCATAGTTAAGTGATAAAATGTGGTGAAAATATATGGTAGTATTAATTAACCAAATTTAATGACAATATTGAGTGCAAATGAACTTTTCTTAAAACGAATGTTGACGGAAGAAAGTTTATTTTCACGGTTTCACCTAATATTTGAACTAAAATAATAAATGTATGACGTGTGCATATATAAATCCGGGTAAATTTTTGCCACTTTCAACCTCAGACCTTAGAAAGAAAGAAAAAAAAAAAAAGACTTCAGAACTACAACATAAAAAGTAACTCATTCAATATTTCTATTTGTACCCAATTAATAAATGACTTTCATGTATAAACTTAGGTATGGACACAAGCATAACTCAAAAATCACTCAAAGATCTTACTTGTACTATATTAATAAAATATGAACAATTTTTATCCCAGTTTTAGCCTCCAAATAAGGAATGGAATTGAACTGAATTTTCTTAGCATACTTGAGCTTGAAAAACGCGCCTATGAAATCTCCGACGACATAGTATAAGTCACAAAACCTGCATGTCTACGTTGTTTGCTTAATTACCACCTCTCTCTTTATTACTACTACTACTACACAAATCACAAGAATAAAGAGAGAGAATCAATCCCCTTTACCTTTAGCTCTGCCTCTTTTCAGTTTCTTTAAATTTATTATTTTATTTTACATACTATAAATACAGAAGAGACGAGAAAAAGAGAGAAGAAAGTGAAACCCCACCATCGCATCATGTTTGGCTTTTTCCTTATGGTATATAAAATAAATGCTTCTTCAAAATCCAATAACTTTGGCCTGCCCTAAACCAAGAAACATATCACAAAGTTATAGGCATAGGTTTTGCCAACAGACTAGACTACAATATAGAGAGACCCTCCCTCTCTTTATAGAACAAATCAAGTTATTGTTTTGCTGTGGTGAAAAACTTGTTGATATGGCCATTCAAGCGGAGTTGTACTCGGAGAATCTTGGTTTTCCATTAGGAGTTTCGCAGGATTTGATGGATAATAATGCTTGTGGATTCAATGAGTTTTCTTTTAACCCTCAACAGCAACAATATTACGAGTACCCACAGCAGCATCAGCAGTTGCAAAATCTGTACGAAAAAGACCATCAGAATTTGAAGCAATTCGTCCCAAAACAGAACATCACTTCCCAGAGTCTAACTTCTCAGTTAGAGAAACAGAACATTGAGATCAATCGGTTCATCAGTTTACAGGTAGTTCTTATATAGCATATGCTTCTTCTATCTCAACGTGTTAAGATTGTAAATAAAATTAAATGCTTTAATTTTGACGGTGGAACCTGCGATCTTTTCAGGGGTAGATGTTACTATGTAGTATTTGTTTTTGCGTCAAAATAATCTTCAATAGTGAGTACATGTTTGAATGTTAATAATGTATATGATATTTGCTGATTCTTCCTTGGAAACAGAAGGAGCGATTGAGATTGATACTAGAGGAGCAAAGAAAGAAACAAATGGCATTAATCTTGAGAAAATACGAGTCAAAGGCACAGTATTTGCTAAAACAAAAAGACGAAGAAATTGCAAAGGCAGCAAACAGGACAAGAGAGCTACAAGATTTCTTGAAAAGAATGGAAATAGAGAAGCAAACATGGCAGAGAATGGCCAAAGAGAAAGAAGCAATGGTGATGTCACTTAACATTACCATGGAACAATTAAGAGAGAGTGCTTGTTCATCAACAAACAACAGGGGTACTGCTGAAGATGCAGAGTCTTGTTGTCATGTAGCAGATGAAGATAAAACAGAACAAGAGTATGGACATCAGAAGATGATGTGCAAAAGCTGCAAATCTAGGAAATCGTGCATGATTTTCCTGCCTTGCAGACACCTATGTTCATGCAAATATTGTGACACTTTTCTCCACTCATGTCCTGCCTGTAATATGTTGAAGAAAGCTAGCATTGAGGCCTTCATTTGATCATAGTTCGTGGATAGATTACTCAGTACTCATTTATTTCTTGACTATCTCTGTCTACTTTTTGACCATTTACAATTACTGCTAGGGTGTTCAAAATCGAACCGAAACCGAAAATTAAATCGAAATCAAAACTTAATTGGCTTATTGGTATCGGGTTAACGGTTTAACGGGTTGGGAACGAATTAAATTTTTTTTACTAACGACTTATCGGTTTGGGGACGGATTATTCAATTTTCTTAACGGATAATCCGTTAATCCATTAAGAATATATATATATCGTAATGATAAGTGTGAAGAATCAATTTCCAATTTCCCATTAACAAGTGTTGGTATTGGTAGTCAAAATACATGCCTTTTGTTTTTTATTTTTTTCGGTTAGTGCCTTAGTGGTCATCACTCATCATTGTATTAAATATAGAGAAAAAGATGTATAGTACAATTTACAAATTTAGAATTTAGAAACCCTAAAATCTAGACTTCCCAATTTTTCGCCGCTGCCTCTCGCTATCTCCTCCCATTCTTTTCTCAAGGGTCTTTCCTCCATAGATCTATAGCTCTAATCTCATAACTAGATCTCAGACTCTCCGTTATGGCCATAGCCAGAGCAGCAAACGATAAGTTTCTTTCTTCTCATTTTCGAATCTTTACTTGATGGTCGAATCTTTAGTTCTGCTATTGATAAATTAGATCAAATCTATGTAAAAATTTGGAGAAATGTCAAAATTATTCTGGGGATTAAAAGATGAATTTTGTGGCAGAAGAATGTCATTTTCCTCGTCATACTTCGTCTAGAAATTAATTTACTTTCTAATTCGATTTCGATTCAGTTCTAATATATCTGGTAAGAATTCGAACACTAGCAAGCTAGCCTGCTACCTCTTTTATGTTGCTATTTGTTTTTCGAACACTAGTTTATTTTTATTTGGATTTCCTTAAGCTTAAGTGAGGATCAGCCTAAACCAACTCACAAAGTGAAAAACAGAATTTAGTTAGTTCTGTAGTTGTTTTATACTGTTAATTAAGGTAATAATGCATCTCATTAATTCGGTGGATGAATCAGTAACAATTCCAGTCAAGTCACTAAACATCTAATTGCATAATTATTTTTCTAAAAGTCAAAGAATATCATATGCATCTCCAGGAAAATATGTAAACATACATAGAAGCTATATAAATAGACCAATAACTGCCCGATAATAGCTAAACCGATACCAATCTGCCCGATATCTTATCGGGTGGCTAGCGGATTAATACATTCAAAAATCGATAACCGATAAGACGAACCGTTAGGCGTAAATAACCGTCCTATCCGTCCGATAAGCAGCCCTAATTACTAGTGCGACATGGCACTAGCATCTTTATCTTTTTCCTTTGTTGGAGTTGGAGGAATTGGGGATATTATTCTTTCACTTTTAGCTTGATTTTATTATTCGTATCTCATTCACTACCAATCTTACTTACTTCTTAAGTGTAATTTAGTTGAATCGTGACGGAAAGTTTTAAAGCAATATGTCTGGTCCTAGTTTCAGTCCGGTCCATTTTTGTAGTTATGGTATGAGACCCCGAGCTCATTCTTTTTCTTTTGTTTTTCTCATTTTGAAGGAAAAGATCCAAAAAAAACTCTTTAATTTGAGTACTACTATTTTGGGTATTTATTCAAACAACCGATTCTTATCATTATGAAAATTTTAAACTGCTTTCAAATATTAAGAGGTTGATTTTTTATTTAATATGGAATAATAAATGTGTTACCATACGCTTTAAACGATTTTTTCCCCTTCTTTTTGGACAGAGAATATATCAAATTCTAAATGTTTCCCTTTTGTACCTTGTTTTTCTTTTTCTAGGTTTTGTCCTCTTTGTTGTAATTAATAAATTACGACCACTTATAATGGGAAGTCCCAATTCCCATCCATCACGCCATCAATCTTGTTGGCGCAAGTGAAGTTTGTTTTGATAATTGACAAAGGAACTCAAGTATGAACCAGGTCCATACACAGTGTATACAGACACGGGCAGATTCAAGCACAAGATGCACGTGAAGTAGATAAGCTTAAGTGGTTATATCTGATATCTCCTGAACGAAAATGTTGCATAAATGATAAGGTGAAGGACACCTTACTCGAAGAGAACTCTATCCTAGATAAGGGAGGGGTTAGAAGTTGAAGATAACTATAACTCTTCCACCATGGAAGAGTATAGCATTAGAACTCTAGTTATTCTAATTCTACTAATACTATAAATTACATGATGTTCTCATTTTACAGGTACGCACAAACGCTTAAGTTAAACTTGAGTTGAGAGCAAAATAACAAGGCATTTTGCAAGCAATTCTTGTGTGATTCAAGTGTGCGAACCTGAAGCTACATGAACCAGATAGAAGAACCAGTTTCAAGTGTCTGTCTTTTATTCTAGTTCAATTGTAGTAGGGCTTTTCAAATTGCACCTTTCAGTTTTATCTAAGAGGCAATTGTATTAGGTACTCTGAGTATTCAAGTTAGAGTTAACTTGAAGTTGTCGCAACAGTTAGAGGTTGGTTGCCACAACGGGATTAGAGGTAATCCTTAGGTTTACAAAGAATTTTGTAAATGTTGTTTTGGCTCAGTGATTTAGTGAAGTGTTGGGGAAAATCCTACTGAGTAGTAGGTCGTGGTTTTTTCATCTTTTGAGTCCGGTGTTTTCCACATAAAAATACTTGTGTTCTTTACTTTTCGCATTTACTATTTTCGCAACAGTAATATAAGGAGTACATAGAAGAACCAGGTTCTTCTATAATCAGTGCACGCCAAAATTGGACACCACACAAATCACCCCCCCTTTTGTGTGGCATTGAAGTATAAAACATCAATTGGTATCAGAGCAGGTTCTCCTTGAAGAGGCTTACACCTTAGGAGAAGATCAACATAAGTGCACCACCTGAAAACTGGGAAGGGCAATCTACTGCTAGGCCACCACTCTTTAACGGCCAGTACTACTCTTGGTGGAAAAACATGACGAGAGATCACATTATAGGAGAGGACTATGAGTTATGGGCCATTGTCACCGATGGTCCACTGGATACCATGAAGATAAATACGGAAGGAGTAGAGGTGCCAAAGACAAGAGCGGATTGCACTGCTGAGGACTTGAAGAAATGGGAGAAGAATATAAAAGCCAAGAAATGGCTTGTTTGTGGACTTGGTCGAGATGAGTACAGCAGAATTCAAAGATGTACCACTACTAAGCAAATTTGGGATATATTGCAAGTGGCTCATGAAGAAACACCTCAGGTGAAGAGATCTAGAGAAACTTTATTGTATTCGCAATATGAGAACTTTGTATAAAGGAAGGAGAAACCATTCAAAAGATGTACACAAGGTTCACTACACTGACAAATGAACTAAAGTCTCTTGGAAGGATTATTCCTGAAGAAGATAGAGTCGAGAAAATACTGACTAGGGTTTTGCCTATCACTTGGGAGAGCAAAATCACTACCATTCAGGAATCAAAGAATATTGTCACTCTCCCAATAGATGAATTAATTGAAAATCTCACTGCCTATAAACTTAGGAGACAAACCATAAAAATTGATGTACCTAAGAAGGAAAGGAGCTTGGCACTTAGAATCACTGAAGGTTCTGATCTAGAAGATGATGAAATAGCTATGATCATTAAGGACTTCAAGAAGTACCCGAGGAGAGGAAAAGGCTCTTCAAGAAATGGAAACTATAGCAAGTCAAAAGCTCCTGAGAAGCAAACCAATGATGGCTACTACAAGTGTGGAAGGACTAATCACCACGTCAAGAACTGTCCTCTATGGGAAATTGAATGGAAGAAGGAAAGAGCTGAACAAAGTAACAAGAAGAAGGAACAGGTTCAACCCAAGAAAAGCAACAACAAAGGATCAACCAAGGTTATGGTCGTTGCTTAGGGAGAAAGCTCAGATGATGATGAGGATGAACAAACACTTATGCCCATTGGAGAATCTGATGAAAAAACTAAGGTAAGTGTAATTCATCTCAAAGACAAGATTAAATTGTTGTCTAAAGAAAGGTTATCTGAGTTACTTCTAGAACTAATTGATGAATCTGAGGATGTAAACAATGAAAAGGAACAGTTGTCTAAAGAATGTGTGATTTTAAAGGCTAAGTGCAAAAACCTAGAACTTATGGTAAGTGAAACTGTAAGTGAAAATACTGTGTTGAAGAACCAGGTTCATGCACTTGACTCAACTGTCCTAGTGCTTAGATCTGAAAATCTAAAATTGAAATTAGGAACAGGTAAAAAGACAACTAATCACACACAACTCACTCTAGAAGAAAATATAGGAAAAATGAAATATGAGGTGTATAAAAGGGATGAGTAGGTAAGAATCCTAAAGGAGGATCTAAGCAAGGTCAAGCATGAGCTAGACAAAACTTGTAAATGGAACAGGTCCTCCAATGCACTTTCATAGCTACACGAACACCATATTAGCAAGAGAAGAGGACTTGTCTTTGGGAACCTGGCACCTAAGTGGGATCCTAAAAGCAAGTACCTCACACTTCCTGAGAACAAGATTTGCACACACTATGGTAAAATATGTCACTATAAAAGTGAATGCACTGCAAAAGAAAAGACAAGTCAAAAGAACAAAGAATTTATTCAAGGAAAGAATTACCCAGTTGGGCTAAAAAGAATTTGATTCATCTGTTTGCCTATAGAAAGGGACCCAAACTAGTTTGGGTTCCTAATACTAACCCATGATTTCCTTTTGCAGGTCCAAGTGAAGGGGAGCAGCCAAATATGGTACATGGATAGTGGCTGATTAAAGCACATGACAAGAAACAAGAACCAATTCCTTTCATTTGAGAATCTTAAAGGAGGTAATGTCTCCTTTGGAAATGGGAAGAAAGGTGAGATCATTAGGGTTGGAAAGGTAGGTAAGACTAGTTCTCACTTTATTGAGAACGTCTACCTGATAGATGGACTGAAGTACAGTCTAATAAGTGTATCACAATTGTATGATAGAGGTAACATGGTAACATTCACCTCTATAAAATGCTTTGTGATTAATCTTACCACTGACAAGATAGTTT